AGCGCCAAATATGTTTTCTATGACTGCTCGCAGTCGGCTGTTAGCGTTTTCTCACGCTATGATTACCACAGGGGACCTCAACATGAATGAAGGCGCTGACTACAGCAAGTAGCCAAATACATGTTACGGCATCAACAGCATGAATGACAACGGCAATCACATTCCAAGCTTTTCTGCCATCAACAACTCAATCGTCGGCGGCACCCTTTTACCTCGGAAACACATATTCACAAAATGCCTTCATTATTTGTGAATATCACTCGACACTCACATCAGTCGTCTTGTCTGCACTGGGTCTGATCACCATAGGGTTGTAGAAGAACTTCGTCTGAAATTAGCAGGTTCCAATGGCGCATCTTTTGAAACAGCACTTCAGCTGCTCGATGCTGACGAGCTAAAATATGACGAGGCGGAACGGTCGGTCTACCAAAACGAAGTTGAGATATTTAAGTGAACTTGTTGCGACCCCTCTGAAAGTGGCAACGTCGATGAAGTTCATAAAGACATTTCTTGGGCGAAAAGTGGAGCTGAGGTCAGAAAGAGAATAACCAAACTGTCCCTGGATTACGGAGAGGATCCAAGCCATTTCAGTGCAACGGAAGCAGCCAAAAAACAGTAATTGCAACATTGTGCTGCACCCAGGAAGGCAACTTATTGGAGTCTCGCTTGTGAGGTAATCAGAGCTAAAGATGGGGGAAAGAACTTAGGCTGGAGGGGAAAATCAATAAGATCGACAAGGCAGCCAGAAAGGGTGAGTGGCAGTGCAACAGTTGTAGTTAACTCGGTCTGTTTTCATCCAGAACGCTAAGACTGTCTCATCGGAAGGTCACAAGGAATTGCTCAAAAGATGGGCTGAGAACTTACAGCGGCTGCTCAAGGGCTGTCCTCCAGACTGCTCATTTCCGACTTTTAATTCTCTGCCAACACAAGAGATTAGGACAGATCCACCTATAAAAATAAAAATCCGAAAAGCCTTGCTACAACTCAAGTTGAAGAACGCCTACGAGGTTGTTGTAATTCATCTTGAGTCAATTAAAAATGGAGGAATGGAAACGGTAGAGACGCTACTTGCTCTATTTCATCAAATGTGCCCCTACAAACGTTTCTCGGGAGAACGGAAGTGAGAAGTAATTGTCATTATATTTAAAGAGGGTCATATGGCCAAGTGTTCCAATTATGGTATTACACTACTGTCAACTCTTGGGAAACGTTTCTCTGGATTATACTGACAAGGTTAAAGTAGATAACTGATGGAAGATTTCACCCAAATCAATTAGACTTCCGGAAGGGTTACTCCTAAATCAACGAAATTTGTCACTCGGTATTATCACTGTGTAATGATGAAGATTCTGACTGCCTTGGTTTTCCAGTTTCTTCGACTTTGATGCTACAATTTATTCATTACATCAAGGTATCACACTATCATCAACTTCTAGGAAACCATTCTGCTGGATTGTCATAGAAAGGATGATTCAAGCAGCTAATGGGAGACGTATCCAAAACAAGCAGTTTCTCGAAGGAGGGACTCTGAGCCGACTAGATTTCACTCTGAGGAAGATTATCTAGCAATACCGACGTTTTCAGCTTCGTTGGTTGTCAGCTTCTTCGACTTTAAAGCTATATTTGATTTACTACATGGTCAAACGATGTTGAAAATCTTGAAATGTTATGAGAGCTAGCTGAGCAGATTATTTTTGTTTTGGAAGAGATGCACGCAAGAACCATGACTGTTTTCAAAAAGTGATTTTTTTATTTACTGTAGAATTCGCGAAGGAGATATCCTTTTCCGTCAATGATATTCAAAATTCTACTCAACTTTCTTCTTCGAAAATAATGCTGATCCTGGCTAAGCTGAACGTTTCGTTCTCTAGTTAAGGCACAGTTCTAGATATTTGGCTATATATCTTGCTAACATGAAGTAATGACTTTATTCACTTAATAATGAGTAACCTCAATAGATGTGATAATTACGAAAAGGAAGGTGGCCCTGTTAGACAAATTGGTTGAGGATAAGCCATTTACTGCAGTCCATGAGCTTCTGGTATATGAGCCAAAAGAAGGTAGACGTCGATCAGGAGGTCAGCATGCCACATGTATGAACAAGACAAATGGAGATCTGCTTTAGTAGATGAATATTTCCTTCTGAGAGGCAGGTAATTGATGCCTTATAGCAAAAGTACTGGAAAACTGTGGATATAGCAAATATCGGAAACCACACCCGATCTACTTATAAAAATAGCTTAAGATGATACTCTCAATGAATACAACAAACAAACAAACACAAACCAAATTAAATGGACTTACGTCTCCTTTATTTACAGGCAGCGCACTCGATTTCGATTTTTCAGTCTTGGGAGTGGATAATGGAGGTATGCAAATACTGCTACCCTCGACATACAGAGATCCACGAACAGGGGTAATGCAGCAATCATTGTTTGAGTCGTCCGGCGTGAGATTTTCAAAGTAACAAGAGGTGTCATCCAGTAATGAATCAGGCAAAGCAGGAATAATGTGGCCATTGTCCTGGTTGAGATCACTGAAGGTCGCTGCTTGTATCGCCTTCAACGACTCTTCTGCAGTTTCAACGCTATCCAACATTCCTTTCTTCTGCATCAAAAACATAACATCATCGACGGCATCTTCCACGGCCGGGTACGGAGTGTTATGCGTTGTTATGTTTGCGTTGATCATATCCGCCATTTGATCAGGAAAGGTACTGTTGATAATTGCCTCGTCCACGAATCGGTACCAATTGCAATTCGCATCCAGCGATGGGACGGACGATGAACTGTCATTTCTAACTTTCTCTTTGAACGTCGTGTCCACAAAGATCTGCCGGCATAAATCCATGGTACCGCCGGTACCACTGACTGTACATACCGGCTTCTTGATCGCTATCTGATCTTCGGACGAAACAACGTCATTCATTAGCAGCATTATTAGTCTGACATCTTTCAGCACATCTTCCAATTTCATCATCATGTTCGAAAATGTACTACTCGCCTTCGCTTTCATCTCTTCCGAAAGTTGCATCTTTACAACGCACGGCTCGCATTCACACTCTTGCCTCAAGTCATAACCGTTTGCAAGTTTGTACTCATCACAAAACGTTTCAGCAGCTTTGAGGCAATGCTGTTTTTGCAAATAGCAATAAACCATATGACTCAAACTAACGGAAAGTTTGTTCATGTCTGCCCCAGACACCGAAATTTCGTTATCGTAATTCGATTGTAACAATTTAAGTACTATCATCCGATTAGCAAGTATGCTCTTCAGGAAACATCTGCACTCTTTCCATTATCTATATACTAAATAATACCTCATTGGATACCTCGCTAAATAATACCTGTGCAGGAAATCAGCGCAACGCGTTATTAAATTATACAGCACAAATTATTATCGGTACACTACATTGAAATATTGCGCTATAATTATCAGAATATTAAGCTACTAATACCTAGTATGCCAATTCTGGGTTTGACTCTTCGTTGCGGCGTAATCCGGTACCGCTGACCGCGTTCTGGTGTTGCCGACAGTCTAACAGCCAAACAGTGTGTATCAACTTGAAAATTAATAGGCTGGTAGTCGAATAAATAGTTGCTGATGAAGTAAAAACATAGATACATGGTGCGGTGATTCAAGACCGACGAGATTGGGAGAAAATTGTCGCAATGATTGAAGAGAATAGTTAATGGTAGCAAGGAGATAATGTAACTAAATAAATATGTTGCTTAATTCAAAGATTCTACAGTGGGTTCAAAGCCCGGTGGATTATTTTGGTTTTTCGAAGATCGCGGCCATGTATTATAATAACGTTCGCCGAAATTTGCTGATATAAAAAGTTTTTTTCTACTATTTAGATGACAGATGAGTGCATCTAGTTCAATTCAACCCATGCGCAAAATAGCAGTGGGTATGGTTCTAATTCTCGTCACCCAGGATGAACCCCATTCACCAAAAAATATAGGGCGAGGCAAATTCGGCTGAGCATTAGATCAGAAACAATGGTCACATTAAAACCGGAACAACGAGGACTTTCTAGATCAGCTTACAAACAAATAGCAATTCGTCTGGGATACTGAAAAACAATTCTACCGTTGGCGGTACCAAGCTCAGATGGCTTGGAGATCGTGACGAGGACTTCCATAAAACTTACCCACCTGTACTGAACGCTTCATCCAAATAGGTCGTCGCCCGCATTATTAAAGGCCACGGAGGCTGCTGAGGAATTGAAGCTGGTTACGAAAAATCAGCGATAAGAGCCATCATCTTGCCTTCTACCAGCTATATCTTACAAGTACAGCGATAGCTGGTGAAGATCGACAAACCGATGAACATACCAGTCAGTAACGGAGCCACTACCCATTCTAAAAGGAAGAGAAAGACAGCAAGATTTCATTACAGAACGTCCAATATGGCTCCATACCAACGACACTAGTAGAATCAGCTTCAAGCCGTAACATCTCACTCCGAAGTAAAGGATGCAAAAGCTACTTGATGAAGCAGTTACATAATGACTTACCATGGTTCAACTTTCGTCAAAGAATAGTCAGAGCTCTAGAATTCGGGCCCTCTGTGGGTAGATGGTATTCAACTCCGATGTCCACATCATTACAAACGCTTAAGTAAAACTGAACTTGAATAACAGTATCACTGAATAGAAGCCTGTGAGAGAAAGAGTTGGAATAATTCAGCTAGATGAAACTTTGACCTCATCGCATGTGCACTCAGTTAAGATGAAGAATATGAGTCCTTCCATGACGAAGTAGAAGGAGCTGGGCATGACGTTGTGAAAGAGCAATCAGCCGTTCCACTGCGTGTTTTCAGTACGCTTGTCGGTGAACATTGGAAAACGCAAAACGTGATTGTAAGCGACGCTTCTAACGACGTCAGGAATAGCAGTAAAAGCTTTTTGCGATTTTGTGCTAACAACGGACTATCTGTTATGAACATCATCTTCGAGCATCGAGGCGAACATCAACACCTGATATAGGGAAGCTTGCAAGCAGAAGTCGATGATCGACTTGATAATCTTACCGTCTACCTTACAACGGTCTGTACTGAATGTTTGTGTTAAGAGAGACGCGAAACTCTCAACTGATCATCACCTTGCCGTTCCCACCCTCCAATGTAAATGATGCCATTGCCATACGAAGATCTGGCAGCAGAAGTGACAAGGGAATCAAATGAAAACCATTATCATATGTGAATAGAATGTCATAACTTTAGACAACATGTCATGACGATTCAAAAAAATCCTAATGATGACCGTTGATTTAAAAACCGAGAGGAATGCCCTTAACGGCGACTAACTCGGGGATGCCGCCTGTTGCTCTGGCTTAAAAAAGTTTTTCCTTTCGCCCGGAGGTCAGGAACGAACTTTATAAGGGACATGAAAAGTTCAGCTGACTGTCACCGATAAAATAATTTCGTTTAAGAGATGGTTTTCAAGCATAGAGCCTTTAACTCAAATGCGGTGATAAAGCGAGTAGAAGGTGGCACTTAAAGTACTGGTCAAAGCGAAAGATCATTCGTGAAAACAAAATTTAATGAGGTGATGGAGTCAAATTTCTAGACGGCAAAAGAATTATTTTGGCAAACTATCCGCCGCTTCTAAGATAAAAAGTAGAGAGTCAAAGAGTCCCAGAGGACAAGTCTAGTCGTCCTCTTGACAAGGATGATGGTAATGATGATGACCTCAGTAACTGAAACAAACCAT